CTTTCCTCCTCCTCTTCTTCCTCCTCCTTCTCCTCTCCTTCCTCCTCCTTCTCTTTCCTCCTCCTTTCTTCTCCTTCCTCCTCTTCTTCCTCTTCTTCTTCTTCCTCTCCTTCGCCTCTTCTTCCTCTTCCTTTCCTCCTCCTTTTCCTCTCCTTCCTCCTCCTCTTCTTTCTCTCCTCCTCTTCTTCTTCCTCTCCTTCTCCTCCTCTTCTTCTTCCTCTTCCTCTCCTCCCTCCTCCTTCTCTTTCCTCCTCCTTTCTTCTCCTTCCTCCTCCTCTCCTTCCTTCTCCTCTTCTTCTTCCTCTCCTTCTCCTCCTCCTCCCTCCCTCAAGTAAGTAGACATTAGGATCCCGGCAAACTTAAATTTGGGGGGTGATGAGGGGAAAGAGATCTGGGTGACTGAGGAGAATCCCCACCCCCTTGTCTCTCTCTCCCCCCACCCACCCCTGAAGAACATACCCTGTTGAAATTCAGGCTGCAGGATTCCAGGGCTGTCTCCACGCGCTTCTTGTCAGCCGAGAACATTTTGAGAATGCTGCAAGAAGGAAACAAAAGCAACAACAGAAGAAAAAAAATCGAGTTTGACAAGCCCCGGTCTAGGGTCTCTCCTGCTCGAGCAGCGGGTTGGACTAGATGACCTCCCAGTCCCCCTCCCCACTCCGTTCGAATTCTGCCAGCCTAGAATCTTCCGGCAAGGCTCAAATTATTTATCGCCGTCAAACCAAACTTGGAAAGGGGAAAAAAAGCAAAAAACCACGCTTGGAACCAAACCAGCCTGGCTGGGCTTATCTCTTCCAAGCAGCGAAAAGAGGAGGTTTATGTCAAAGGAGCTGCGGCGTGTAGATTGTTCCTCACAACCGCCCCATTTTCTGTGCTTTTGGACAATATTCAACGGGCGGGCCTTTCTTCCCAGGCTGGCCTGACTTTCACCGACCGCAGGCAGAAATGGGTGCTAAGCAATGCCTTGGCTCCTTGTCTAGCCTCCGGGGAGGAGGCTGAACCGGCGGCATTCGCTCCCAGGCAGCCAACTCCCCAGCAAACCCAGGACAGCCCTGGCCAAGCCCAAACCTTGTCAAGCAGGAGCCAAATTATCTGCAGTCCAAATTTCCAGCCCTTTTCTTAAAAAATAAAATAAAAATAAAATCTGAATATGAAACTATAGGCTGATCCTCGATTTACGGATGCAATTTGGGGAGGGGGGGGGCAGGATTCCTGTTGCTAAGCAAGGCGGTTTAAGTGAGTCACATCGGACTTTACTTCTTTGCTGCAGAGATTAAGGGAATCGCCGTCTGACTGACTTTTTCAGTGTCCTTTTAACTTTGCACAATCACTAAAATGAAGAGTTGTTAAGTTGGGGACTTCCTGTATGTTCGTAAGCCCATGCCTGGAAGATTTGCTGGTTCAGAGGGATATAATATAATGTAATAATATTCTTTAAATTATTTCCTTCCTGCCCTCCCTCCCTCCCTTCCTTCCTTCCACCCTCCCTTTTCCCTTCCCTTCTTCGTCCATTTACTTTCTTTTCCTTTCTCTTTTATCTTCCTTCCCCTCCCTTCTCTCCCATCTTCCCTTCTCTTTTCCCCTTCCTTTCTCTTCCCTTTTGCCTTCTCTTCCCTTCCCTCACTTCCTTTCCTTTCCTCTCCTCTCTTCTATCTTCTTTCCCTTTCCTTTCTTTTATCTTCCTCTCCTCTCTTCTCTCTTCCTTCCCTCTCTTCTATCTTTCTTTCCTTCCCTTTCCTCTACCTTCTTCTCCTCTTCTCCTTTCTTCTATCTTTCATTCCTTCCCTTTCTTATATCTTCCTTCCCTTCCATTTCCTCTATCTTCCTCTCCTCTCCTTTCTTCTATCTACCTTTCCTTTCCTTTCTTCTATCCTTCCATTTCCTCTATCTTCCTCTCCT